CCGAGGAGGCGCCCGCGCCGCAGAGGAGCCCGCTCGCCCGCGGCCTGCAGGACCAGTATCCCATGGAGGTGAGCCTGGCTGCGGAAGCGCGGGGGCGCAGGAACGCGGTGCCTTCCTTTGGGAGGGCCTCGGCCCCACGAGGACTGGGCACAGGAGCCCTGGGGAGGGGGGACCAGCTCTGTCCTGCGGGAACGTCCTCGGGCCCATTACCTCAGATCGTCCCCCAGTCCATGCTTTTCGGTATCCTTAACTGTATCCTGTATTCTCTGTAACTCGGCTTCTATTTCCCTCTAGGAGATTCACCTTGTAAAAGCGGGTGGTCCCCTGGGACTCAGCATCGTAGGAGGCAGTGACCATTCAAGCCATCCCTTTGGGATCCATGAACCAGGTGTCTTCATTTCCAAGGTAGGCCCTTGTGCGGACAGCCTAGCGATGGATGTTCCTGCACTGCTCAGTTACCGGGGCTAAGAAAAAGGAGTTTGAAGCAAGACTCTGAAAAGTATAGATAAAAAAAATGTAAAAAGCGGGGAGGAGGGATGCATGCATGTAGAAAGAGTTAGTTTGTATTAGACATACTGCTGCTTTTAGAAATTGAAATGATGCTTAAAAGCCAGTAAACATGTACAACTCATGCTGAATTGTTTGAGGAGTTAGCTTTAAAGTTAGTGAGCTTCTCTTAGCTTTCAGTGAATTCTGGAAAGAGGTGGGCATTTCAGGAAAGTGTTCATTACTTGTGATGAACAGGTGAAAGTGTCAGTGGGATGGATGTGTAACTGAGAGAAACCCGAAAGTGCCCTCCTGTGCTCAGACCAGCGTTCCTTCAGCCCAGTGTTCTGTCCCCAGCAGCGGCCCTAGCACCAAGCCCAGCTTCCTTGGGCAGCGCGTACCCCTCGCAGCTCACCTACACTCCCTGGGTTAGAGATGTTGGAGAGGACATCTCTGCCCGGTCCTGTTAGCTTCCATGCATCTTCCTGATCCCTTGAGCATGCTGAGGCTCTCTCCTCCAGCCCCTCGCAGCTCTAGTCCCAGAAGTTCACTGTCTGTCAGATGAGAAAACACTTTGTCATCCTTTTGAAACTCATCTCCTGGTTTCACCGAGTGCTGATTTGGTAACAAGAGTTCTACACTCAGCTCATTTACCTCCTTCATGGTTATTTAAACCTCATTCATCTCCCTCCTCAGCCTTTTCTCCAAACTCGAGTTGTGACTTTCTTCGTTCTTCCTTGCAAGGTGCTGCTCCATCCCCTCCATTATATTGGTTGCCTTTATCCAGGCCTTCTCTGACTTACATCTGTCCTTCTTTAGATGTGGGATCACAGAGTAACTGAGGTTGGAACAGACCTATGAGGTCATTTGATCCATCTGATCCCACTCAAAACCCAGGACTGCCTTAGATCAGCCTGTTTTTCAATGACTTCAAAGATGGAGATGTCACAGCCTCTCTGGGCCCCCTTTGCAGTGTTTAACTACCCTTATGGTGAACGTTTCTTTCCTAATATTTCATCAGCATTTTCCTTGTCTAACTGGTGTCTGTTGTTTCCCTTCCTACCACTCTGCACCTTCAGGAAGAGTCTGGCCCTCTGTCCTCTCTGTCCCCTTGTGTTCAGAGGGCTGAGAGCAGTACCACGGTCCCCTTCAGCCGCCTATTCTGAGCCTGAGCAAGCCCAGGTCCTGCTGCCCATCCCCGTGCGATGCCCTTTGCAGCCCCTTGTCGTGTTCCTGGCATCTACTCCCCTTGTCGCAGGTTGTCACTGTCCTCCCTGTGTTGCACACGCAGTGTCATTGCTGTGCAGGGGGGCAGTCTGTGTGCTCAGCCTGCTGGCGGCTCCCACAGGCCGCTGGCCCACTCTGCACGGGGACATGCTGCTGCCCAGGCAGCCTTTCCCCGGGACGCTGGATCCCAGAGCCTTCCCAAAGGAGCAGCTCTGCATGGCGGGTGTTTGTGCCAGGTCCGCCAGCAGGGAGCTCCCGGTGGCCTCACCTGCTGCTTCCTCTGGTGAGGACACGGTTGTGGCTCCCGGGTCTCCTCAGCTGCTAAAGGTGCTATGAGATGGTGCCGTCCCTCTGTTGGCAGCAGCCATGAGCTTCCAGCTTTTTCCATCTTGGGAGCTCCTACTATTTTCAAGCCAGCCCTGGCTGACCCTCCCTCCGCCCAGTGCGCAGTCAAGGCTTCTCTCTGTGCGCGTCCCTGTGAGGACCCTGTTGTCTCCTGTTCCCTGTTCCAATGCCGTGTGCCTGCTCGCTGCCTCCTCCTCCCAGGGGAGTCACCACCAGCCCCAGAGCAGCCTCAGCCATAGGCCGTGGGAGCTGAACCCCATCTGAAGGTCTACCTGGCCCAAGGCCCCTCGCGTGCTGGGAGCACTCCTGTGGGTGCCTCTCGGCCTGTGACACGGCCTCGTCCGTGCTCCCTGCACAGTCCCAGGCCGAGCTGCTGGATCCCCTCCTGCTCTGTGGGCTGTGGCAGCACAAACCTGGTCCGTGGTGGGGACACAGCTGCACCAACGGGCAGAGCGAAGCTGTCCCGCGCCCGCTCTGGTGGTGGCCGAGAGCAGGCATTTCTGAGGGCTCATCTTTCATGTAGAACCTGTGATTTCAGAGATTGTGTGAGTTTTTGCATCTAGGAATAATATTTCGAACAGTTTATTAGCTGTGGTATTATTTTCTGGAAAGCAGTAACTTTGAAAAAGCACGGGAGCATCTTAGCAAGCAAACTACAGCATGAATTCCTGGTGCAGAGACCTGTGTGGCCCTTGGGCATACAATAACATGGGATGGTGAAGGAACAAAGCTTCCTTTGGAAGCAGTGCTGACTAAGCCAAGGTTAAAACCTTAATCCACTCGAACTATTTGCAGTATCGAAAGGTGTTAAAAATCAGTTACTGAGAAAATCAATAAGGGTGCTCACAGTTTGCCATCAGCACCTTCAGAGTGAGATTAGATGTTTTTCTGAGAGATAACTGTATTAAAACACAGGGCAGAGTTTAGAGCAGGAGAAAGGTAGTCATGCTAAGGGACCTGTTTGATCTTCCATGATGTGCTAGATGAGTTTTTGTGGCTTGAATAATATAAATGAAAATCCCACTTGAAAGGCATCCTGTAGCAAGTAACAAGTACTACCAGCAGTACCAGTTACATCAAGCATTGTCAGATGACTGAAAAATTCTGTTTCCTTTTGGACTGTGTCCCAGACTTTCTGCTGTCCTCAGGTATGAGCAATTTTAATGTGCAGTTTTGTGACATCAGCTCATTTTTGCTGGATATCTCTCCAGCTGCTGTCTTACCTTCCATGGTTCTAGTGATTTAGCGCTTTATTCCAACACCTCAGAAGCCTCCAAATTAATTAAAATGCATGTAAGTGCACACAGTGTGCTTAGCAGATGGACTTGTGGTGGCTTTCTCAAAGGCATTAACACGTTAGCTCCGCAGATTCTTTGTAGATACATTATCTCTTGACTATGGTTGCAGAGAGAGGAGTCAAAACAGGCTTCACAAGGTGTAAAAAAAAAGAGTGATAATTACCCCTTACTGTTTCCAGTAAAGCTTTTAGTGCTCACTTGGTTTCTACTCATGTTTTTTGTTTGTTTGTTTTTCCAAGACTGGCTGTAGCTTTACGAGATCTCTTTGTAGAGACGTGAGGTTACCTTTCCCAGCTGTAACACTCATGCCCCTTCCCAGGTCATTCCGCGAGGGCTGGCGTCGCGCAGCGGCCTCCGCGTGGGCGACAGGATCCTGGAGGTGAACGGCACCGACCTGCGCCACGCCACGCACCAGGAGGCCGTGACTGCGCTGCTCTCCAACGCCCAGGAGCTCACCATGCTGGTGAGACGAGACCCACCTCCACCTGGCATGCAGGTAGGTCCTCAGTGAGGGCGCTGGGGGAAATCACTCCTTTCTTTGTACAAACCTCACCTTTGAAGGCACTTTGTTATTGAGTTGGCAGTCGGGGGCTAGGATACAGCCAAACTTCTGACAAGAATTTTTTCCTCTTGTGGCAAGACCGAGTCTCTTGTAAGTATGTCCAGCTGAGAATTGAGGAGTGCCTGTTGCCCATGGTGACATTGTAATCAGTGAATGTCAGATTTCATGAAGACTAGACCTAGAAGAGGAGACAGAAATTAAAAAAAAGAAAGGAAAGAGCCAGATCAGACAGGCCAAACTGAGGGCTGGCTGAAGGCAGAGTCCCAGGGCAGTGATCAGCAGAGCAGAGTCTGTCTGGGAGTCTGTCCTTGTGGTGTCCCCCTGCAGTCAGTGCTGGGCCCAGTCCTGTCCAGCTGCTTCCTCAGGGACTTGCGTGGGGCACAGGTTGCATCCTCAGCATGTGTCCTAGGTGTCCCAGACTGGGAGGAGAGGCTGATCCACCCGGGGCTCTGCTGCCATCCATGGGCCCAGGACAGGCTGGAGAGGGGGGTGGAGAGGAACCTCGTGGAGCTGGAGCAAGGTGAACTCAGGGCCCTGTCCCCAGGGAGGAGGAACAGCCCCCGGCACCAGGACAGGCTGGGGGAGCCGCTGGGGAGCAGCTCTGCAGAGAAGGACCTGGCGCCCCGGGGGTGACAGAGTGACTGTGAGCAGCGCTGGGCCCTGGTGGCCACGGCCCATGGTCTCCTGGGGCATCAGGCAGAGCGTTGGAGCAGGGCGAGGAGGGGATTCTGCCCCTGTGCTCAGGGCTGGGGAGGCCCCGGTCAGTTACTAGAAGTATTATAATAAGGTCAGTTACTAGAAGTATTTTTTTTTTCCTCAACAATTGCAATCTGAACCCCTAAAAAAGATCTTCTCTGTGTCCACAGGAAATATGCATTGAAAAGGCTCCAGGAGAAAAATTGGGCATCAGCATCCGGGGTGGAGCAAAAGGTCATGCTGGGAATCCCTTTGATCCCACTGATGAAGGCATCTTCATTTCTAAGGTAGCAGACCCTGAAATCTTCAACTTAATTGCATGCAAGAGCTGCTAGGGAGAAAAGTGATCCGTGCTGGAATTTCTTCCATGTGCTGTCTTCTTTTTTCACTGGATATACCATTTTCCCCAGAGTTTTGTCCTTCCACTGAAGCGTATGCATGAGTATCCTTTCATATTTCCTTCTCTACAACAACCTCAAGATTTCTTCTTTCATTTTTGATGTTTGCCTCTATTTTACCTTGCATTTCTTCTCTTGTACTTTTTTTTCATGAAATGAATGCACATTCCTTCATTTTTCTCTATATTCTCATTGCTTCCCTCAAGTGCTTCTGACCTCTCTGTCTACTCTACACCTGCTCTTCCTTCCTTTCTTTGAAAGCATTTTGCATTCCTTGTTTTTCCTCCTGACCCTTGTAGCATGTGTGTAATTCTGCTTCATTTCCTTACTAAGTGACTGCTTGTGTCCATACTGCTTCGCAATGTCACTTTTCCCGAAGAAGCAACACACGTTTTCTTGTCAACGATTTATTCTTATATATATTTATACTCCCACCAAGAACCATTGCATTAGTTAGCAATAGTTAGATAACAGGAAAGCATCACGATCAGAGGTGTAATCTTTGGCTCAAAATCATTTCACATCTCTTGCTGCTGATCAGAGTGACTCTGGGGGTGTTCACGCCAGCGTCACAGGTTCCCTCCAGCTGTTGTGGCAGGGGGGAAATGCTGTACAGCTTTAGGGAGCCGAATGATCCTGGCTGGATGGTGGATCCTCCACCACTGCTAGTTAATCTCCTATAATAACTTGCTACTTTCAATGAAAAGGAATATTCAACATTTGTTATCACTTTGATATCACTCATTTATCTGATTTTTATAGCTAAAAGAGTAAGTACGCTCTGCCAAAGTAATAGTATTGTGTATAACTTCAGTACTTGGGATCCTGGCCTGCAGCAGGAGGAGCGTTGCCAACAGGGTGAGGGAGGGGATCTTGCCCCTCTGCTCAGCTGTGGGGAGGCACCTGGAGCAGTGGGGGCAGTTCTGGGCTCCCCAGGACCAGAGGGACGTGGAGCTGCTAGAGAGGGCCCAGTGCAGGGGCATGAAGATGATGAAGGGACTGGAGCATCTATCGTGTGAGGAGAGACTGAGCGAGCAGGGCCTGTTTAGTCTGGAGAAGAGCAGGCTGGAGTCTCCTTCTCTGGAGATCTTCCAACTCGCCTGGATGCCACCCTGTGCCCCGTGCTTTAGGTGTCCCTGCTGGAGCAGGGGGCTGGGCTGGATGATCCCTAGAGGTCCCTTCCAACCTTAAGGATTCTGGGATTCTGTGTAATATTTGTAAAAAGTGATAAAAGAAAACTTAAGATTCTGGTAATCCAAAATCGCTTTTAATGGTTAGGCTTGATTTTGTTGTCTTTGGTGTTTCAGCATCTAGGTTTTTGTAAGGCTGATAATTTAGCCACATTGCAGGGTTAGTTTGCTTTTTTTTTTTTTTTAATTGCCTTAGCTTGCTTAGAGCCAGAATGTTTCACTTTTCTGCTTTCCCACTGACTGTGTCATTTCAACCTGATCTCTCTCACCCAACCCTGACAATTGTGTGTTCATGGATTCCTTTTCTTTGCCTCAGGATACCTCCTGTAACAGGCAGGGCGCTGCGTTTAGTCCTTGATGTTGTTTGGGTGTCTGGCTACCACCTTCTTTCCACTTAGTCTTTCTGAATTTGCATTTCTGTTTGGTACATTAATTATCTCTTCTTTTATCTTTAATCTGGCTCATTTTAAAACCTTTTTGATGAAGTGTTACAAGCTGAATGCCATGAGAAGTATTAATTATACCTACAATTTGAAATTCATGATCTGTCCCAGTGGGGATAGCTCAGAGTCCCCGGGTGACGTATGAATAGAACAGATGACAGTTGGGATCAAGGACACTTTTCTGCATTAACTTCACCTCCTCCCATTATTTCTGGGTGTTCTACTGTCACACTTGTGCACTTGCTCTCCCTGGAAAAGGAATTGTGAGTACTTGGTCTTTTTCCATTGAGCTGCATGGCACCACCTTGTGCATGCACATGCACCACACACACTTCCGTGTTTTCCTGCACAGCCTGAGGGAATTCTGCACAGGCATGCATGGCTACTCCCCCCTCCCCAAACTGATGAGAAAGTGCATGCAGCATTTTCTTCTCCTCTCTTTGTAGGTACTTTGTTAAATACACATCATATCTGGTGGGTTTTCTTTGTCCTAAACAAATCTCATAACCCAGCAAAACATTCATGTTTGCTATTATTTGTTTTTCATTTTCACTTCTTCCAGTAATATGCAGTTTGCAGTTATCCTTTCTTTCCTTCCCATAATACGTGTGCCATTGCGCTCTCCTTCCCACCTCGGCAGCCAGTCAAACACGTCTTTGCATTTTCTTTTGTCATAGATTTCCAGGCTTTGATCAATACATTTATGTATTCCTTCCGCAAAGCCCTCGTGCAGCCCTGGTCGTGGTCACAGTTTTCTTGATTAAGGCTCACGGTCGTGTTGGTTGCTCAACTTTCAGAGTGGCTTTGGAACTGAAGCCATTCGTTTGTGCCTGGTGCCTCCAGCCAGTCCTGTGTGTGCCCGGGCCCAAGCTGGCTGTTGGTCCAGCTGAGCGTGTGTCCCTTCCATTTTGTTTCAGGCTTCTCATTTTTCCTTTAAAAAAGTAAAGGTGATTCTGTTCCTTTCCCCAAGGCTCTTTGTTTCCTGTGTTTCTGTCCAGTTCCTGATAGTACCTTCTTCCAGCTCTGTATTCTGTTGTTTCTCACTTATGCAGCTTGCATGTTTTTCCTCTAGCAACTCTCATACTTGCATGTTCTCTTTTCTTTTTCTTTTTTTTTTTCCCTGCCAGTTGTGCAGTCTCTTTTCGCTATCCTCAGAAGCAAAATGAGGAAAACCTTTCTGTTTCCTTCCTCTGTTCTGGTGACAAAGCATGCATTCTCGTTCTCTCCTCACACTTAGGGATGCTTGCACTATTTAAGACAAAATGTGACTTTCGTGTACCGTGCCAACACATTGCATGGAGTTGCCTCCCCTGGTGACAGTTTGTATACATGGGACAAGTGTGAGTTCTCTGACTTGTGGAGGAAAGAGAACAGGAGTTCCTGTTTCTGTTCATGCTATTTCTGTGAAAAATAGAAGGGGAAATGAGGCACATGCGTGATTTGTCATGTCTGTATCTACCATGAAGACAGCGAGAAGTCTGTGCAGCATCTTTACCTACAGAAATGATGTGCTTGTATTTTCCTCCACACTGCTTTCTCCCTCTCCCCCTTTCTTCCCCCACACCTCTTACTGTACTTTCCTTCCTCTGAGAACAAGCCTTAGATGTGTGAGTTTTCTCTATCTGCTTCACTGACAAACCACCAGCAGCAGTTTCTTTCCTTGGGGCAGCACATTTCAAACACATATTCCTTTTCTCTCCTGTAAGCAATTTCTTCTGCACCCGTTTCCTCCGTGAACTTCATTCATCCTTCCTTTCTTTGCGTCTCCCCAGGTATATAAATACTTGCCAGCCCTTCCCTGTCCTGTGCCCTCTGGCTTTCCTCCCTGCTTCCTTTGCGCAATTTCAGTCCTCGTCCCTCTTTCCCAGTGGTCCTCACGCTCTCCCTTCTCACCTCCTCTCACAGACTCCTGATTCTCCCTGTTCCTTCTAGGTGAGCTCCTCGGGGGCTGCTGCGCGGGACGGGCGCCTGAAGGTGGGAATGCGGATCCTCGAGGTGAATCACCAGAGCTTGCTGGGCATGACGCACACGGAAGCCGTGCAGATCCTGCGCGCCGTGGGCGACGCGCTGCTCGTGCTCGTGTGCGACGGCTTCGACCCCAAGGCCGCGGCTGCCATGGAGGTGAGAGCCTACGGGCGGGCACAGGATCCTGGGCCACCCTGAGCCGGGAGCCAGGATCCCACCCAGCTCCTCAGAGTGAGGGCTGCGTTTTCCAACCTTTTGGGAAGTGGGAAGAAATGTGGTTTTGATTGTGGGGGTTTTGTTTTTTTAAGTCCTATATTCTAAAGTCTGGTCTCATGCTAAATGAACTGGAGCTTCAAAGTAACTTTTTCTGGGCATTTTATGCCTATTTGTTCTTTACCAATGTTGGTTTTGAAGGGTTATTTATTATTATTATTATTATTTTGCCACTTGGTGTTTACTCTTACTTTGAAAGCTTTGTTTCTAACCAGAGGGGGGATATTGTAAAACTGTTTTCTAACCATCAGTGAGATAAGTTTGCTATACGTTCTCAGCTTGCTTTTTAAGGGCTTGGAGAGTAACCTTTTTATATTCTGTTATAATATGTATCCAGTCCCTCCTCATCTTATCCCTTCTGTACATGTGTCAGTTTAAATTCATCTTCATAGGTCTCAAACTCTTCGTGTAACTGGCAGTGGAAATTATTTTTCAAGTTACAATATGGTTGTGTCTCGCCTAGAATCATCTTGATACTCTGTGTCTGAAAGCCCAGCATATGGAATTAGCTGTATGGCATGTCATATACTCTGCTACTCTTTTCTGTCTTTTTGCTTTATAGATGTCCCCAGGAATTATTGCAAACCCTTTTGCTGCTGGTATTGGGCGCAAGAATAGCCTTGAGAGCATCTCATCTATTGATCGGGATTTAAGCCCCGAGGAGCTGGAGATCCTGCAGAAGGTGGGTGTTCCAGCCACAGCCAGGAGGATGGTGTGGAGGGGACAAAGTCTATGCAATTCCCTGGCGGGAATTCCTTGGTGTGTAATCTGCAATCTGATGGGTAGGCCAATCTCTTCTGGTAGTGGACTTCCCCCTCCTGATGGGATCAGCAGGTCGTTGCTTTGTCTGGAGTGCACGAGGACGTGACCGAAATGGCTGTGTAGCTGTAGGTGCCCCATGGGGAGAGAGAGCTCTGGGTGAAGTGGCTCTAACTTTGGTCTCTCCTAGGAGATGGAAATGGTGAGAGAAGCAACTCAGTGGGAGAGAGAAGAAATGGAAAAAGTGGTGAGAGATTTTTCATGTAGGGGAGTGTGATCTTGAGAACAGTTCTGCCAAGGTTATGAGCCCTAAAGGAAATGCCACCGAATTGCTTCAGCCAAAATGCCATTCCCATGGGGGAGCTTGGGGCCTTCTCTCCCATAGGACACCTTGTAGTTATTCTAGCTGCTTTTTGGATTAGCTATATCTTCTTCCGTACCTGTTTGGTGGTCTCTTCTGTTACTTAAGGGTTTCTTTTTTCTTACTTGATTCTGCTTTCTGGCCAAGGTTTTCTCAAAGCTGCAACTTTGAGAAAAATGGCCCATTGGCCTGGAAGTCCTGTGTGTAACCTGTTCTCCCCAGACAGCACTCCATGACCTGACAGAGCATTTATGAGCCAAGGTGAGAACAGGCAGCTCAAAGTTGCCCTGAATTTGAAGAAAGGCCCTGCTAATCACAGCTCTCCTCAGTTTGCATGACCCTTTTCTTGGGTCTGCCAGGATTTTTGTGTTACTCTCCAGCATCCCCGTCTTTCCCAGAATATACAGTGGTTGGTTGTGATTTCAGAGAAAGCCTGGTTTTGTTGTTACTCTTGCAGCAAAGGGTAGTCCTGCCAGTTTTAAGTTAGTAGATATGGATTTTAATAAGGATCTCTAATTGTTTACAGATAGTGTGTGCATCATTGCCAACATTTCTGAAACTTCTGGACAAATCAAGAAGAGCAGGTCCTTTCCCAAGACCATGCAGCTCTAGCCTGAGTCTTGCTATAAGATCTGTATTCCAATATACTGCGTTTTCTCTCACCATAATGTGGCTTAGAATAAATATAATTTTGTTTGCCTCAGCCTCAGAAAGGTTGAGAATTCTGCTTGCAGCTTGGTGACCAGCAGAGACGAAGACTCCCTTCCAGAACTGCCTGTATCCTGAAAGGCTTTTCGGGGGCTTGGATGCCCCCCATTAGGGCACTGGAAGAGGAAGGCAGTGGAGGCTCCACACTCCCCTGTTGTTTCACTGACCATGGCCTGAGACCAGAGAGTAAAGACACATTTTTCTGCAGCTGCCTTTTAACGTGACTTTGAAATACAGATTCCATCCCTTACACTGCTTAGGAGGGCTACATCTGAATTCATACCAGTGACAAGGTATGAGAGCCCTGATAATGTAGTAGGGAGTGCCCACCTCAGCGCCTGGTCTTCATTAGCTGTTTGGGCCTCTCATACTTTTGTTCAGTTCAGTTTTGCCCAAGAATCCTTCACAAGTTTTCAAATACTCCTGTCCTGATCTCTATATACATCTCCAAAGTTTGCCACGGTGTTGATTCAGATGTATTAGTAACTCCAAGTCTTCATGGACTGAATCGCTCTGCATTTTTCTATCCCAGCTCTGTATCTGTAGTCTTTTTGCTTTTGTTTTTTTTAACTAATCATAACCGAAAACCTTGCTCAGCCATTTACAGTGATGATCTTTGAACACTCCTCAGCTCAACCTGAGCTGGTTGGCTCTCTTGTCTCCCATTGATTCACATGTATTAGTAACTCCAAGTCTTCATGGACTGAATCGCTCTGCATTTTTCTATCCCAGCTCTGTATCTGTAGTCTTTTTGCTTTTGTTTTTTTTAACTAATCATAACCGAAAACCTTGCTCAGCCATTTACAGTGATGATCTTTGAACACTCCTCAGCTCAACCTGAGCTGGTTGGCTCTCTTGTCTCTCCTCAATTTAAGAGCTTCAAAGAAGGGTCATGTGCAGGGTCACTGTCTGCTTGAGGTTCTGTTGCCCAAAATGTGCGTAACCAGCTTCAGCCTAGACTTTAGCTGGAATGTCCCTTTGGGTCTTTTGTTTCTCTGGAGCATTGTGTCTCCTCACGGTGCTCGTTGTTGTCTGGGCAGTGAGGTTGTGCTGTGGGCATGGTTACTTGCTAATGATTATGCGCAGAACCTTTGAAGAGAAGGGCTAGGTGATTATCCCTATTTGTGGTTAGCTCCCTCTGCACTGCTTCAGTGCTTCCCACCTCCTATCCTTCCATCATGGGACTGCAGGACCCTCTGGGAGCAGCCAGGAGGATTGCAGTGTGCAATAGGAGAGGAGAGTGGTGTTTTGCTTGGGCACAGCCCTCGCTCTGTGACATAAATGCAGGGCAGGAGATCACAGCAGTACAATGCACAGCAATCTGTCCCCAGGGTAAGTGGCAGATGCTCTTACCTTCCTCATGGAAGGCTTGGAAGGAAGCCTGCAGCTGGGAGAAAGCGCTCGTGAAATGATTCCCCGGTCACTCCTGCGAGATGCTCCCATGCTATGCGGAACGCTTGAGACCTGATGGGCTGTTCTCCAGCCCTGCCTTTATGCATTTCCAGTGTCTGCAGCATTCTGGTTGGGATGCTATACATGAGCAAGTCATTGTTGAAGGCTTTTGCCTTAGTGACAGCCAGGCCCGTGCTATGCAGAACTGCTTGTCCGCTCCCTCCCAGCCTCCCCAACCTGTACTCTGTCAGGACGTCTTTTGTAGCAATAAGCAGTGGTGGGGGCTCATCTATTGCCATGTGAAGAACACAAGCCCCATTCTCCTGAGGATTGGCCCTGGTCAGGTGTTAGAGGCACTTGCTGGCGTCTTAGCTTGTCTCGGATGGCGTGGCTCTTCCCGTCCTCTTTCCTAGCAGTAGCTTGGCTTGTGCTGTGAAGAATTGCTGCTCCACTTTCCCTCATGTGTTGGGTTTCTACTCACCCTTTCCTGGTGCCAAGCCTGTTTATTCTCCTGTGTCGTCCCCTCTGGAGTTGTTGCCCAGCATGGTGCTGACCTCTCTCCATCTTTCTTTGCCCGTGCTGCTTGGATGCTGCTCTGGCTCTGTGCTGTCCTCGCGGAAGGAGTGGATGCGCAGGGAGCGGGAGGCAGCCACCCAGCACCTGGAGGAGGAGGCCGAGGTGAGGAGCGTGGCGGGAGGGCTGCAGACTCCCCTGGGGTGAAGGCTGAAGAAGTCTCTAGAAGTGCTCTTTCCCCTTAACTTGTCCCACTGCTCCCTCTCCAAAACTAAAAAAAAAAAAAAAAAAAAGACTTTAAGGTATAAGGGAAATATATCAGAAATGAAGGAATCTTTTATGTGATTGTAGAAAGAATGGTGGAAAACGGAGGCTAGAAATTGAAAGTGAGGCAAATTCAAATGGGAAGTTAAATAAAATTGAACGATAAATGTGATTTAAGGATGGGAAGAGATACGATAGGGTAATTGTAGATTCTCTCTTTCAAGTCTTCAAATCCAAACTGAAAGTCTTTCTGGATGCTATGTGGGGAAAGCTGCTGTGGATGTAACACTCCCTTCCCTTCCCATAAGGGATGAGATGGATGCTGGGGACAGGAGGTGGCACCTGCGCACCAGCATGCATTTACCAGGCCCCAAATGGCATCTTCTCTGACGTATTTCTCAAGCGTCTAACACCCTTTCCTAAGGTTGTGTTTGAGCACTCTGGGTTCATTTCCCAAGCATGGGAGTTTCCCACAGAGTTTGCCTGGAGATGAGGCCTTGCCTGTTACTAGGCTGCCATCCCCAGAGGGTGGTTTCCTTCAAATTGCTCTGTTGAGTTGACTGCTGGCCTGATCTCTTCCTGGTGTTTTTTCTTTTGTCTGTTTCTGCTTCCCCTGCCGCTCTCCAGAATGTCTCCAGTGAACCTCTGAGACTGGACTATCGGACCCTGGCTGCTCTGCCCACCAGTGGCTTGCAGAGAGTCACCCGCAGTGTAAGTGAGGGGCCGCCGAGGTGCGGGTCCTGCTGGGGAGCCGGGGGTCACCCTGCCTGGCTCTGCGGTGCCCTTGTGAGAGGGTCACAGAAAGCTCTGTGCAGGAGAGCCCTTACGGAGAGCCGCGGCAGACTTGCACCATCTGAAGTGTAAGGCAGCCACAACAGAAAATCAGATTCGAGTGAGCGAATGGGGAGAGCGGAGAGCCGGGTGGCCCTCCATTCCAGAAGGGGAAGTGTCTCTGCAGCTGCTGAGACAGGAAGTTACCTGGGAACGAGGCCGAAGAGCAGAAGTGTGAACGGCGATGATCGTGAGAGGGCTGGGCGGTAGATTTATGGCAGGGCAGCAGTGGGAAAGGAGCAGAGGCGCAAGGCACTGATGCCAAGAACTAGGGGAAGGTCCCGGGTCCTTTTGGGACTGCAAAAGACAAAATGCTGCTGGCTGGCAGATTTATGGGAGGGCAGCGTTCAGAAAGGAGCAGAGGTGCAAGGCACTGATGCCAAGAATTAGGGGAAGGTCCCGGATCCTTTTGGGACTGCAAAAGGCAAAATGGTACTGGCTGCTTGCCACAGCCTAGCCTGGATACGGGCTGGCCATTCCTGCCCCTCTGTCCGTCTGCGTCTCAGTCCCTGACGCACAACAGCCGCTTGGAAAAGACGGAATCCACATTTCACCCGTTGCGAAGTGGTGCCTGTTCAGCATTGCTCAGAGTGCCACCTCCCTTCTCCATCTCTGTTTCCTTTGCTATTCTTTTGCCTTCCCACATTTGCACTGTGCCTGTTGCATTGGGGTCTGGCTGCTCCTTCACATTCACCCTCAGTCTTTGTCCCCGTTCCCATCTTGCCACCACAAGACCCTCCGTTTTCGCATCACTGGAGTGGTTGTTACCCTTTGCTCCTCCAGTGCTGCTAGGCCTGACATTTTTGGCATTCGTGTTCCATGGTTTCAGGAACATTTCTTTCACCTTTACTGTCTCCATCTCATTCTTTCCAGACAGGCCCTCCCTCCTCCTCTTCTGTTCTCTCACTGACCTCTGGCCCTCTCCCTTTTCTGTTTCTCTTTTATTAAAGAGCTGCTTAGCCTACAGTTTTGTTCCATTCTGTTCCCCTCCATACCCTCCAGCTTCTGTTTTTTTAATCTCCTGAATATTTACACAATAACTGATGGCCATTCACACAGAAAAAATATTACCGAAGTAAAGTTTAATGTGTTTTTAGCAGCTATTAATGTAACTTAGCTGGAAACAAGGGGAGAACCAGCCCCGTGTAAACAGCTGCCTGTCTGATGAACAACCTGTGTCATCCAGAGCAGCATTTTGGCCTCAGTGGGTCTCATGTCAGCCTGGGAATGCCTGGGACGGGAATGTGGGGCCGCATGTGCTGGAATGCTGGCTGTATGGGTGGCATCTATAAATGTCTCATTGCAAGGGAAGGGCCAAATAGTCTCCGTGTCCATCCTCCTCCAGCTGTCCTTTGTCCAGCCTTTTCATTGCTCTTGTTGAAAAATGTCACTTATACTGTGAATAGTCAGAAAGAGAAAAGGGCTTCAAGGACGACAGGGTTTTTACTTTCCTTGCAGAGCTACACCTAGCCCACTTGGCCAGCTGAAAAGCTCAAACTGGGATCCATTTGGCCAGCAAAAAAGCATGTCCATCAGTTATTGGATTGGCTATTTCAGACAGTCTGCTTTGATTAAGGTGACTAGTTACTGCCCTCTCCCCACAGTGTTTTTCCTATTTCTTCCTGTCCTAAGTGGTGACTTTCTCCGCCGCTAGTTTCCTCTGTAAACCATGTCCCTGTGTTTCACTTGCCATGCACATGGTAGTTCAGCCTCCAACTTGCTGCCAAGGAAAGCCCACGTCACCGGCGCAGGCCCCGGCCAGGCTGGAGCAGTGTCCTCCCGGCACCCCGGTGGGGAAGGGGCTCCCGTGTGGTGCTGCGACGCGTGGCCAGGCCAGCCGGGGTGCCCAGCAGCGGGATGCCCTGCTCGGAGGGTGCTCAGGGAACGGAGCACCTTCCCTTTCAGCATCCCTGCTCTTCGTGACTGCGGAGGTGACAGGGCAGCCCTTGCTCGTGGCTCTGCTAGAGATTGCAAATAGGGTTTCCAGTGAGGGTTCTTGAAGAATTGTGCCTAAAGAAGAGGGGACAAAATGTTTAAGTTTAGCCTGGGTTGTTCTGTATTGCTGAATGTTGATCCTTTGTGAGCAAGGGTTACGAAGGCTTACTGTGATATGCACCTTGTGTGTTTGCATGTGGTCAAAACTGCCCCTGAACAGTGTCAACAGAACGCTTCACTGGGATGCTCTTCCCACCGACGCCAGTGAGATCAGTAACGTGACGCCAGTGGAGAACCAACTTTACAGTCGTTTCTGGATATTCCCATTATAGTAACAGAGAGGCCCTTGTAATCTCTCCGTTTTCTGGGTTGCACAGGCTTGAAAACGTTACCCATCAGTAACTGCATCTGGCCTTTGCAACGCATTTACACTCTTGTTCTGCTTTCTGGGCTATAAGAAAGAACACTTTACATCTCTCAGCAAAGTGTCACTGTTAATTAACGGTCTGTAATTGCTAGTCTGAATCTATTTCTCTGTAATTTTCAGCCACTGATTCTTTTTTCTACATTTGTTGATGAAATTTTAAATTTGCCCCAGAACAAAGGCTGAAACAAACCTAAGTGATGGATCAGAACCGCAAATGCATTCGCCCTGTACTTGCCTTGGAGGATGCAGGGGAAAACATGATTGTCCTCCCTTCTGGACTGGGGAGTGGCTGAAAAGAGCACACGACATTGCCAAAATTTCCCCTTACCTAAAATAGAAATTGTTGCTCGTCCGATAAAAATAGCCATCCTGAAGTGGAGGGAGCAGGGCCCTCGGTGCTGGAATACGCTGCCGCAGCAGCGGTGCTGGAGGCTGAGTTGAGGCATGGAGTTTTTGCTCTGAGCAGAGCAGGGTGTTTAGGCTCCTCATGGCCTATCAAACTTGCACAGCTGGTGGCATGCCCATCTGCACAGTGCTCTGCAGGGATTCCTTTCTTTTCTCCTGTTGGGTGAGCACAGCAGCCTGTGTTGATGTTACAAAGCATATGGGATCATGGTTGGTGTTCGTGTTCTTGGCAATGGCAAATGGCAGGACTGGGAGCAGTGTCTGCATGGCCTGGCTGCAGGTCAGCAAACGCACCCCGTGGAGGTGGCTTCCTGGCAGTTTTCACCTTTGCATCCCTTCTACTTTCCTGAAACATATAATGCTCTTGAAAGAGCATTCTGCTCTTCTGGCTGGTGAAGCTTCCTCTGCATTAGAGGTCTTCTGGTGTGGTTTAGGGCACTCAGGAAAGGAAGGTATTTCCCTCTCTCTCTCTCTCTCTCAGTAGTGTTTATATACATATATATTTATATATATAAAAGTGACTTAGCTACTTTAGCAAAGTTTCTAAGAGTAGTGCAGACTTCACTGTCTGAAGAAATGTGATAGTCCAAGGCTGTGGCAACTGCTGCTTTCGCTCGGGTTGAGCCTGACAGGTTGCGTGAGGGCCTCAGAAATTCCGGAGCCTCCCAGCTGCCATTGTAGTCGCCAGCCCACCCACCCAGCCCGTGAGAGCTATTTCTGTGAGTGCTGTCGTGACAAGGGAGTTGGAGAATGTGCTCAGAGCACAAGGGATATTCCTGCGCCCTGGCAGGCAGTTGGATGGAAGAAGATTGGGACGTTGATATCCGATCATTTCTGCTTCCCTGAAGAAGGCTTTGGCTGGGGTGACAGGCTCTCTTCTGTGGTATTGGAAGGGGAAAGGTCAGTGCTTCACCTTGGAGGGCTCAGTTCAGCCAAGGTGGAACTGGAGCTGTACAGTTCTGCTCCAGTGCCAGTGCTCAGAGGGATCTGCGTGCCGCGTTAGCTGTTATTTAGCTCTCTGTTACTCGCCACTGCTGCGAGTGAGGATGCGGTGGGGCCGTAAAAGCACAGTGACTCGTGCAGGGGTGATGGATGGGAATGGGGCTAATGGTAGGGTGAGACGGTAGAAGCGGGTGGCAGTGAGGTGGATCTAGGCAAGAGGCACTTTCTGCGTGGAAGCAGCGGCGCTGTGCTGGGACCGTGCTGGGCTGAGGCGCGATGACTGGCCTTGTGGTGGGTCTGCTGCAGGGAGGGGAGAGGGGCTGTGCTGGCGTGGGTTGGCAGCGCTGCTCGAGTGCAGGCTGGAAGGTGGGAGAGCGGGAAGTGCGTGGAGCACCCGTGTGTGTTCTGTACGCAGCCAGCCAGCTCCCGTCCCGGCAGCAGCATTCAGGAGCACCGCAGCCCAGGATGGATGAAGGGGCAAGGCGCAGCAGGGCGGGCATCGGGGCAGGACTGGGTTTTCCGCAGCCTTCATCACTGGTGGCACAGGCAACGGCTCTGTGTTTTCTCCCTCCTCTCTTTGCTCTGTTCTCTCTGTGTCTTTCTGATCCTTCTGTTTCCCTCTCAGCTTGCTTGGTGCAGTAGGGCCAGCTCCGGCACGGAGC